TTGTGTGTGTTTTTTTTTAATTAGTTTTAATGGGAACAAGAGCAGAACGTAAGGAAGATTTTGTTGGTGGGTTTGGATTTGGAGTTGTGGAAAACTCACATAAAGACGTTATGGCACTACCTAATCATCATCCATCATATCCATCGCCTTCCTCTTCTTCCTTTTGCTACTGTTCTACTGGTATTGTTACCGATCCCATGTTCTCTGCTTCAAGCAATCATCAAGGATACACTCCTCCTCCTAATGATATGTTCTCTCTCGCTGGTTCTGGTTCTGGTTCTGTTTCACTAGCAGACCCTTTTTTCACTTTGAGCTCTTCAGGTTTCCAAAGTTCTCACCTTTTTGATACTTATGCTTTTTGTTATGTTGGTTTTAATGTGAAATTGGTGGTTGGATAATCCAGGGGAGATTGGAAGATGTATGAGTGATAAGGCAAGTGTAGCTTTCACAGAAGCTCAATGGCAAGAGCTTGAGAGGCAGAGGAATATATATAAGTACATAATGGCTTCTGTTCCTGTTCCTTCTGAGCTTCTCACACCTTTTCCCAGACACCAATCAAACACTAACCCAGATGGTATAATCTCTCTTGATTCATGTTTTGTTTTTCAGTTGTTTGCCTCTTAGTTGATGCATAGGAGTGGAATGTATTGGTAACTTATTCTGAATACAAGAATTCTGCTGTGTTCTATGTTGGTGACAGTGGGTAAAGGAGGTTCATTGAAGCTAGGGATTGCTTCAAACGCAAGCAACGCTAATCTTGAGCCATGGAGGTGTAAGAGAACAGATGGGAAGAAATGGAGATGCTCTAGAAATGTGATTCCTGATCAGAAATACTGTGAGAGACACACTCACAAGAGCCGTCCTCGTTCAAGAAAGCATGTGGAATCATCTCACCACAACGGCACTCGCACCACCGTTAAAGCCGATTCTAACCAGTTTGGTAGAACTTATCCTCAGTTTTACGGACAACCCGAATGCCAATACTCTGTGGTTTCTAATCTTCCGTCTGATTCCTCTTCCTATGATCATCACAGGTGCGTTTGCTTACACTATTGTCACAACATTATTAATATCTCCTTTTGAAATCACTTGAAAGATTGAAACTTTGTGGTTGGGTATGTGAAGGGAATTGAGGTGGTTTATGAAAGAAAACGATCACATAACAACTTTAAGCCCTGAGATTCATGAAGCTGTTCAGCTGAAGGCTGGATCAAGCAGAGAGCTTAAGAGCTCCAATGGGAACGGGCTTGGATTCGATTACGATCTAAATTTCAAGCAGAAGGAGCCATTAGTAGACCAGAGCTTTGGAGCATTGCAGGGTCTATTGAGTCTAAACCAGACAGCGCAGGAGACAAGGCGGTTTATCGTGGATCGAGGGGAGCAAGATGAAGCAATGGGAAGCTCTTTGACGCTATCAATGGCTGGAGCTATGGAGGAAGCAGAGTGCACAAACCAAAACCAGTGGGTTAGCCAGGAAAGACCATCATGGCTCTGTTCAACAACACCAGGTGGACCATTGGCTGAAGCATTGTGTCTTGGTGTCTCCAACAATCCAAGTACTAGTACTACTACTAGTAGCTGCAGCAGAAGCTCAAGCTGAAGAAAAAAAAAATGACTGAGAGTTTGTTTACAAGTCAAAACCGGTTTAGTGATTTGAGATCAAAACCGTATTTTAGGTTAAAAAACGTTTTGAGTGATTTGATAGTTTTTGTTGTTTTTCGCGTTTGGATTTTGCGGAAGCTTAAACCGCTATTTTATGATGGAAATTGTGTTTGAAACAACGGTTTACTTTAAACCGGAGGAAATCGAATCAAGATATCTGTGACGAAGCTACTAAGGCGAACAAGAGACAAGCAACAGAGAGAAGTCAATAGTGAGCTTGCTACATTTGATCTGTCGAATGGTTAGTACATTGAAATAGTAAACCAGAAAATTGGAATATGGCTCAATACATTATTAGTTCCGGTTAACTAAACCGATTCCGAACATCAGACAGTACTCTACGCACGCCGACGACGACTGTCTTTGATTGGTACAAACGTACCCAATTGAATTTTTGTCATATCGGTTAGCGAATCCGTTTGTTGGACAAATGTCTGAGATACTCCAATATGTGTGTACAACATTTCAATTTGTTTGGGTATTCTAAAAAATAAAACATTTAATTTATGTTCTAAGAATATTATTACTGGTTTAAAATATTTTAATCATAATATAAATTCAATATCAAAATGACAATAACAAAAATATTTTATGAAATAAAGAAGTAACCAAAATGTTCGAAAATCTAAACATAAGGAAAAATGGGTCGATTAGCAGTTAACACAAGATTAGTATGGGTCTTTAGCACTTTTCGCCAATCATTAGTGTTCATAACTCTTTTAGACGTAAATTGATCTTTATATCCTTATGCTAAAAATTCGTTTTCGCTTCTCGCCCTTCGAAACATCTACCATGTCTCTTTGGATTTATGTTATGAATACTGGGGCATTATTTTTTTTTTTTTGCTAAAAGGTAAATATTTCATTATCAATGAAAATGTTCTTAGCTTACAATCGATGACTATAAGCTAATGATCATGCATCCACGACAAAAAAGAATTAAAAACATGGATACATAGTTTCAACCGGTTTTCACTCCGTCGCGTCAACAAAGCCAAAGGCATTTGGAATACGACGAAGTGATGACGATATTAAAATGTTCTTCCCAAGTCCACATCTCGCGAAGCGTAAGCAGAGAGAAGCGAGAGAGATGACGCAAACCACGAAGCAGTAGAAGCATTTCACACGAGGCCCAAAAACTGAACCGTCAACGGCAACGACCTCACAGTTCTCGATCACTTGCACCAACTGTGCCAAGTGAGAGTCACTCAAGGAGCATTTCCATGAGCTAGAACAGCGAGAAACCTCTAAACCAAATCCTGTGTTAGCAGCAGCTCACTCTTCCTAGGGCACGGCAAGCATAGAGCTAACTAATCCTTCAAACCTCAAGTACTAACACTATTAGTCTTACTTCTCCTCTAAAGCTCCATGAAGAGCAAAAACACCAATTCAACTTAACAATGCCACAACCTCAACAAAGCCATACACTATGAAGACACACTTAATACCAAGGCCCGATAACCACCGAGAGACTAGAATACGCAGAGGCGGAAAGGATGACACAGTGCACACCTCCACCGGAGGCAGAACCACATCAAAATCTACTTCTACGCAAGAGGCGAGTGGCTGATCCAGGACCACTAAACCCAATTTCTCACACTCGCAAGGGCAACCATGGACACATACCTGAAACGAGAAGAGCACTGTCCCTGCACAACTCCATCTGAGATGCATCCATCCTCACAAGCCTAATCGAGCAATAAGTGACCGTGGACCAAGCAATCCACCCCAAAGAGAAGCAATAACTCCAAATAGCCTAACCTATGAGAATGGGGCATCAAGCAGCAAGGGAGAACAATAACCTACAACAGAAAGTATCCTCCTCAACTCCCTGAAATCTCACTGAGAACAAGCCAAGAGGAGAACAAAAGGGAAACATGGATAGGACAGCAACCGTACTCAATGCCGTAATCACCACCCACCCCAAGCAGAGGAGAATGACGGAGAGAAGGTAACCACCAGAGGCATCCCTTAGCACGGCGGATCTCCCAAGGGCACTTGGAAGAGAGTGAATCCTAAAGAGAAGAAATCAGCTGAACCAAGACCACCGGACGTCGCTCCGAGGCCAATCCCACCGAGTCTTCGCCGGAAACACA